GCTGGCTGGGGAATTCTGGGAGTTGAAGTCCACCCGTCTTCAAGTGGCCAAGGTTGAGGAAGCCTGCTCTATTCCATCCTTCTTCTGACTTTGATTGTGCCCAGATGCTTGAAGATGCGTGACCAGAGTCTACCATTTATGAATGTATGAGCCCCAGCCGTGCAGATAAGTAAATACATGAAGGATCTTTAAAACATGACATATGACTGGCCTTTTAAAAAAATCTGAAGCCTCTTCTTGTGGTTGGAGAAGAAGGAGTTCCAAGAATGAAAAGGGTCTACTTAAAGCTACGTCAGATATTGAGAGGCCAACAATTGTTTCATTGCCAACAATAATCAAAAGTGGTTACCCAGAGAATGAAACACCACAATATTAATTGCTCAGTGCAGGTGGCACGTGTTTTATTAAACATCCACAGTTGTCCTGCCTGAGAAATGACATAAAGTCAAAGGATCAAAAATCAAGGATGGAGTCATTGAAGTTTGATATTTATTTATTCCAACTTCTCCTTATCGCAAGCTCTAGTGCAGAGCACAAAATAATTCGCTCTTTTTTTTTTTTTAAAGACAGATAATTGGTTATTCTGTTTCTGGTCATTCTTCGGAATATCCTGTTTTTGGAATAAAAATAGTGGGGAGGAAGCATCCACTGTTTTAAATTAAATTATATTAGCAAACCCTCAGGCCCAGGAGTATTTTTGGTATATGCAAAGAAGTAAAATGTTCCTTCTGTTTTGCTTCTGTGTTTCCAAAGAAATAAAACGACTGTTTTTATTTCATTTATCCTACAGGGCCTGCCTTATATCTACTGCATACATTTCTGCTCTTATTTTACTTTCTTCGGCTGATGTTGTGATCAGTGGGGAGGGAAGTGGTAGAAGATAAATAGGAATATTAAAGTTAGTTTTGCGTTGTTTGGTTCTTAAAGAAATAAACAGCGGGAAGCGATGCCCGTTCTAACTTGCAGATAACAAACAGAACAAAGACCCAAACATTTCGGAGTGGGTAAAATGACATCAACTCTTAAAAAAGACTCCCCGTTCGAAAAGCGTGCACGTGTGTCTGTCTGGTTTTTCTCATGCAGTTTTTCTCATTCTCGGGTGATAATGTAGTAGCATAACCAGGAAAAGAGTGAAATCTCTTGCAAAACCCAACGTTGCATTTTAGACCCCCCACCCACCCCCGCCTCTGCTGCATGCTTCCACGTGTTTTTCTTTCTCCAAGCTTGCTGATTCATGTTGCGCTGTTGCACGTTGCCCAGATGATAAAGCCCCCGCAAGGACTAATGGATATTGGCAGGGGTCTCAGCAGGAGGCTTTTGTCCCCAATTTATCTGGCAGCCGGCAGCCTGCAGCCGAGGGGCGGAGAAGAAGGCGGAAGTCTGCGGTTCGGGGCTTCCTTCGTTATCGCAATCAGTTTTCTCCACTGATAAAGTCTGCTGAATTGGTTGGCTGTTTATCGACAGAGACGGTTCCTCCCTGGCTTCCATTCTTTCCCCTGTCATGCCAGGAGGTTAAAAATGCATGATCTGCTTTGAGCGGTTGGGATTACATACTCATTTTCTGCCCCGAGATGGACTTGGATGGGGTGGGGCGGGCATGAAATCACCAACGTGACCAGTCTTAAGATGCGGGTTCATTTCAAAACATCCGGCACTGATGGGCCCATTGGATGTGTGTTGCACCCACTCGCAGCTGGGTCTCCACGAGTTTTAATTTTGATCTTCCCATTTCTTATTCTTCTGTCAACTTATGGAGGCTAAAAGACACCCCACCACCACCTTTGGTGGACTCTGAAGCAGCCATATTCCTCCTCCAAAGCATTAGCCATCACTTGATCATTTTCAGGGCATGGAATATCATCATCATCATCATCATCATCATCATCATCATCTCCTCCTCCTCCTCCTCCTCCTCCTCCTCCTCCTCC